CTTTTGGTCGATCCTTTACAGGTTTGTATCAGAGTGCCCGCAACTTCACTTAACATGGCTGATGGAAAGCCGGATCTTGAGAGTTTGTTTACTTGAGTGCTGAAACTCTGTTCGATGGTGTGGTGACAGAATTTTTTCAAAGCTGAATACATGCACGAACTGGCTATCCCTCTTTTTATTACTTTTGAATGGGCAGATTGGTAATTAAGAATTTCTTTTTTGGAGCGTGGTAGGTAGGACCAACAAATGTGGTGATCTGAGATTTTTATAGATAGGTCCAGGAACTGCAGCACATTTAGAATAGGTTGTTCATACGTAAAACTCAGACCTTTACCGCTTCTGGAGAAAACACTCAGGATTGTATCTATTAAGTCTTCTGTTTGTTCTTCTTGGAGGATAATAAGAAAGTCATCAACGTACCTGAAGACTTTTATAATAGACATAGTGCTCAAAAGCGGTGCGAGGATCATGTCTACGCCTCCCAGAAAGATGTCGCTTAAGATGGGAGCAACACATGACCCAATGCACACTCCAGACCGCTGTAGGTATGAAGAATCTGGCCATTTTACAAACAAGGCTTTCAGATAAAAGTCTAGTAGCTCCATGAAGCTTTCCGTTGAAGTACCACTCGAATTCTGAAACTTGATTTCTCCTGATTGTTCAATAGTTGATTTGACTGAAGCCAGGAGAGCATCCTGTGGAATGGAGTAATACAGGTCCACCACGTCTACGCTGAAGGCTCCTCTCTTCTGATTGGTGTCACTCTTCAAAAAATCAATTACCTCCTCGGAGTTGTGTATGAGGAACGGGTCAACTATGTTGAGGCTAGAGAGGTGAGTCTGGAGATAGAGGGCGATCTGTTTCTGCCAAGTACCCCTTTCTGATACAATGGCCCTGAAGGGACATGCATCTTTGTGGGTTTTTGCACTAAAAAATATATCCAGGTGCAAGCCCTCAGCTTTCTTTATTTTTACCGCCAGCTGATTGAGACTTAGCTTTTGACAGGTGGCATATGCTCTTTCCTTGATCTTTTTCAGTACTATGTCTACAGGCTTGAAATTTTTCATTACAGCAGCGTTAGCCTTTTCATTGTACATACCCTCGGGCATGACGACAAAGCCTCCTTCTTTATCTGAGAGCAGAAGTTTCTGGGAGTTTTGCCCTAAATATCTGACCACGGGTCTGACTTGAATGGGCTGTCTTCCTTTCTTGATGGAGCTTGTGATGACGTTCACACATTCTGAGATGCATCGGGGACGATCTGCTTCTGGAACTTTGAAGGCTACCTTCCTTGCCAAGGTTAGTAAAGCAGGTGGCTGTAAGGTGGGTTCCACGGAAAATTTAGGGCCTAGGTCTAAAGTCTTCCTTACAGGAGAAGGAATACTAACGTCGCCCAAGATGGTTGTTGTCCCTTTGACGGCAGTCAAGTTTCTCTTTTTGCAGAGCAGTTGGGGAAGAATCTCCCGCCAGAGAAATTCAGCAACTTGTCTCTCCGAATTGCTCATGTTGTAGAACAGCCTTCGTTGTTGGTTCTCGGTGCCTCCACGAGCAGCACAAGCCACTCTAAGGCATTCCTTGAAATACCTTTCTTGCCGCCAGTACTCGGAGCGAAGAATCCGACACAGTCTTCTTGCATGGCCTGCTGACGGTTGTAGCATACCGCACAATCCATGGAGTTCCACTGGACAGAGGCCCTTCTTGATGTGCCAGGAGGCCACTCTGGCACTAAACATGCACTGGGCCGCGAGGTTGACCAGATGAAAAATGTTACTGAAAGGGGCATATTTACATGTGAGAGGAGGATAGAGGCCCGATGTACTAGAAATGAACTTCAAAATGGTGGATACTTGGGCTAGTTGGTGGTTGCTATACATAATTAAACAGCGCACAAGGAGAGGGACAGAAAATGAAGACAGAACAGGCAAGCGCTGACTCGCAACTGACGATTTACTATGAAAAGGAGAAGGAAGAAAACTACACACATGAACATATATCGGAAAAGAGAAAGATGTGAAAAAGCTAATAAATTAAATAAAATTACACCTAAAATAATTATAGCTGAAAAGGAAAACAAAATAAAATGAAAATCAATCTCTCAAAGTCCTAGGCATGTCCAGTGCCGGCACTCCGAAGCCTTGACCATTCACCTATTTGTGCGCAGCTGCCCCCATAAACTCATACTCGCTGTCTTGTAGTGTTAATGATGGCTGGCTCACACATTTGGATTCGAGCTTTCTTATCCAAAAGGTTTCCACTATTTCTCTTGTTGTTTTTTCTTTATGGGAAGCTAGAACAGTTGTTGCACAAAAATCTGGATCACATCCACAGGTTCTGCAGTGGATGGCTAAGTGGCTTCCAGTGGTGGTTTGAAGAGACTGTTTATGTTCCCTCAAGCGGTCGTTGAGGCAACGCCCAGTCTGTCCGACATAGGTTTTCCCGCAGGACAGAGGAAGATGGTAAACCACTTGTAGAATGCAAGACACAAAGTGCACCTTGTGGTTTTTCAAGCAGCAAGCCCTGCTGTCATTGTTCTTGTCCAAAAGCGTGCAAATTCTACCCAGTTTGTTTGGGGCTGAAAACACCATGGGCACGTTGTATCTATTGGCAACATTTTTTAAGTTGTGCGACGTCTTGTGGATGTATGGTATAACTAGTGGTCGGATATTGGTAAGGTCTTTGCTCTTTTTTCTTTTGGTCGATCCTTTACAGGTTTGTATCAGAGTGCCCGCAACTTCACTTAACATGGCTGATGGAAAGCCGGATCTTGAGAGTTTGTTTACTTGAGTGCTGAAACTCTGTTCGATGGTGTGGTGACAGGATTTTTTCAAAGCTGAATACATGCACGAACTGGCTATCCCTCTTTTTATTAATTTTGAATGGGCAGATTGGTAATTAAGAATTTCTTTTTTGGAGCGTGGTAGGTAGGACCAACAAATGTGGTGATCTGAGATTTTTATAGATAGGTCCAGGAACTGCAGCACATTTAGAATAGGTTGTTCATACATAAAACTCAGACCTTTACCGCTTCTGGAGAAAACACTCAGGATTGTATCTATTAAGTCTTCTGTTTGTTCTTCTTGGAGGATATCCTCCAAGAAGAACAAACAGAAGACTTAATAGATACAATCCTGAGTGTTTTCTCCAGAAGCGGTAAAGGTCTGAGTTTTACGTATGAACAACCTATTCTAAATGTGCTGCAGTTCCTGGACCTATCTATAAAAATCTCAGATCACCACATTTGTTGGTCCTACCTACCACGCTCCAAAAAAGAAATTCTTAATTACCAATCTGCCCATTCAAAATTAATAAAAAGAGGGATAGCCAGTTCGTGCATGTATTCAGCTTTGAAAAAATCCTGTCACCACACCATCGAACAGAGTTTCAGCACTCAAGTAAACAAACTCCCAAGATCCGGCTTTCCATCAGCCATGTTAAGTGAAGTTGCGGGCACTCTGATACAAACCTGTAAAGGATCGACCAAAAGAAAAAAGAGCACAGACCTTACCAATATCCGACCACTAGTTATACCATACATCCACAAGACGTCGCACAACTTAAAAAATGTTGCCAATAGATACAACGTGCCCATGGTGTTTTCAGCCCCAAACAAACTGGGTAGAATTTGCACGCTTTTGGACAAGAACAATGACAGCAGGGCTTGCTGCATGAAAAACCACAAGGTGCACTTTGTGTCTTGCATTCTACAAGTGGTTTACCATCTTCCTCTGTCCTGCGGGAAAACCTATGTCGGACAGACTGGGCGTTGCCTCAACGACCGCTTGAGGGAACATAAACAGTCTCTTCAAACCACCACTGGAAGCCACTTAGCCATCCACTGCAGAACCTGTGGATGTGATCCAGATTTTTGTGCAACAACTGTTCTAGCTTCCCATAAAGAAAAAACAACAAGAGAAATAGTGGAAGCCTTTTGGATAAGAAAGCTCGAATCCAAATGTGTGAGCCAGCCATCATTAACACTACAAGACAGCGAGTATGAGTTTATGGGGGCAGCTGCGCACAAATAGGTGAATGGTCAAGGCTTCGGAGTGCCGGCACTGGACATGCCTAGGACTTTGAGAGATTGATTTTCATTTTATTTTGTTTTCCTTTTCAGCTATAATTATTTTAGGTGTAATTTTATTTAATTTATTAGCTTTTTCACATCTTTCTCTTTTCCGATATATGTTCATGTGTGTAGTTTTCTTCCTTCTCCTTTTCATAGTAAATCGTCAGTTGCGAGTCAGCGCTTGCCTGTTCTGTCTTCCTTTTCTGTCCCTCTCCTTGTGCGCTGTTTAATTATGTATAGCAACCACCAACTAGCCCAAGTATCCACCATTTTGAAGTTTTTTTCTTGTATTTTGTATTTATTTATCGGGTAAAACGTTTTTGGGCGTCGCACTACGCGTAATCTGTATGCAGACAACTAAAACGATCGTCCCGACATCTCAAGATCATTGCAGAGATGTCAGTGTTCCCAACGTTGCTGTATATGAAAGGGAAAATTAAGCAACCGTGTGTTATCAGCCTATAACACTAGCAAAAACACGTAAGCAGAGCGACAGTACTTCCAACTACCATCGTCTAGTGACGCTAGCATCGCTTGCAGAAGTGCGCTCGTTGTCCCAACGTGTTTTGTTCGAGGGAATGTTATATTTAATACTTGTTTTAGCTTTGAAATCCGATCACTGGTTGCCCACTACCACCTTAATAGACAACCTACAGGAACAATAATGAAGAATGTAAAGATGTAACCGAAGTTGTTTTTTTTTTTTTTTTGCGTACTTTTCGGAGCATGTTTTATCTTCACTCTTTCGACGAGCACCTGCACAAGCCGCAATCGTGCAGTTTCCAGCACCTTGCATTTATAAGTTCTGAACGTAAAGCGGAAAAATATCGGAGACACATTAGCCTCATGGAGGGCGGTGCATATGCTAGCTGGACGGAAAATGATGAATTGTGTTTTGTTCTCTTTACAGTTTTTCTACTCGGTGCACCTCTGCGCGGGGAGTGTTGCAGATAAATGCGTTCTACGCTACAATGGGAGAGGAATGTGAGTAGTCCCAATTACTTCTCTTGATGTGTATAGCACCAGAGTTCGGTTGTTTAGTTTTCCGATTACTGGCCGTCAGAGTAATAGTTACTAAGAAAATTTTGCTGCGTGATTCAAAGCAATAAAACAATGTTGTAGACGAGAACGTACTAAGCACCAATTAATAAAACTAGTCACAAGGGGCGTTCAATGTGTTTTCTTTCAGTGATATCTCAACAACGGGACAAAGATAATTAGATCCTCTAGAAGAATTCAGACATGCGGGAGGTAAATAACTTCTAAGGAGAGTGGTTCATAAGTTTATAAGTTTTACACATTTAAGTGAGATATTTTCATGTCGGCGAACTGAAACGCGTAGTGCGCTTATTTTATGTGCCTCATATTTTCGCAAATTTTGATTTCCCTTATGCTTGACACATGCATAAACATTAATTACATTTATTCGGATTTCGGCATATCTTCCCTCTGAGCTGAAATGTATTCTTTTGTTTCAGTTCTGCTAGTTTTACGTATTGCGTTCCTGGGTAATGAAGGGTCTTTTTTCGTCCGAAACTTTGATAGATTTGATGCAGTTTCAGCTTAACCCAAGCGCGAGAGATAATTGATTTCTCAGCAAGAATGAAGCAGATTAGGGTTGAACTTCACGGAATCCAATCAAAATGTTCTGATCGCTCGCCTGAATGCGATTAGGATCCGCAATATCGAGACGCTGCGGCTAAATATAGGAAACATTTGCTGGAGTATAATTTAATTGATTTCCGGCTACATATATGAAGGTAAATAGAAATTGAAGTTCCACTCACATCCCCTCGAAATTTCCGAAGATAGTATCAAAAAAGATATTTTTTCCTCTTTGAAGATGACTTTTTTTGCTGTTCTTTTGTTATTCTTTCCCAGACTCAGTCAGTAACAGCAATTCGTTTTGGGATTATTTTGACACCAGCAATGCAGTGTCGCGTACGTTTTAGCCATGGGTGAGTAATCAGTGGCCCGCAAGGGAATATTATGTGGCCCCCTGCACGCTACCAGAAAAGCCACCCCCCCCCCCCCCCCACACACACACATACACGCGCACACTCAAGGAATAAGGACGCAACAAGTATTTTTGGTTGCAAGCCTGGTGTAATGGGACGCATTGGCTCTGATATGGCCTACCAGGAAACAAGTTTATTATACATTAGCAATTGTTGTGCACCACAGTGATGAACTCTAAATCGATAATTATGGTCGTAGTATTTGGCAAACCTTTCGCTCGAATTCGCGGTTTATACCATTGCCAATTTCAACAGTTTTGTCGCACTTGGGAGCGTGCTATAAGTATTCTAACAAAGCGACTGGCCAGAAATTTTGCAAAAACCTTATAGTTCACATTAAAAAGAGAACTTTGACAGTAATAATCAGTGTTTTTTTTTCTTGTTTGTCTCGGTCGTTGGACTTCAGAATTAAAACTGTGTGGCTTTGTGAGTAAGATGGAGCTCCAAGAGACACGCAAAACATAGCCTGCAGCACATAACAAAATCGTTCACTTTGCATTATATTGCCGCGTGAGAATGGCTGAGTCAGCAGCGTGCTCGACTCGCACGTCGCTGGCTGGGGCTCGATCCGCGCCAACATTGGTCCTTTTTATCTTTATTTTGTTTGCATGTCTGGAATCTGCCAGATGATTCGAGAATCTTGTTTCTTCGAGTTTGGAAACTTTTAGATGCCCACGCGCTTAAAAAAGGAGCCTCGAATGGCCTGCTTGAGGCATTCGTCCTTCCGTCGCCGTGAATTGTTACTTTGTGCTTCACGGCACAAGTTCGCCGCATGACACGTTCCTTTTTTTAGGTTTTATTAGTGAAGTTTATGTTTTTGGATGAAAAAAAAAAATAAAATAATTGACACTGGGACAATACAACCACATTGTTTTATGAACGATGTGGTTGTGCTGTCCCATTGTTAATTCTTTATTTTTTCTTCATTCATCAACTTGAACCAACACACTCTTCTCCCAAACACGCTTATGTTTTTATTCATGGCAATATATATATATATATACATATATATTGCCACTCCCCCCTCTCCGAATTTTCTTCTGACCCGCCCTTTATCCCCTTTGTGACAATTTGGCCTGCGGCAGTAAAAGGTAGCCGACCCCTGATTCAGGTTTAATGCCAAATACTATTCCTTATCTCGGAGACCTGATTGAAAAGGGCCTGATGCCACTGATGTGATGATTTTAGCTTGAAAATAGGTTACATTTTGGTCTTTGTACATGTCAGAAATAGACTATATACGGCGCCCCATCAAAACGTTTTGCAAGGGCTGCGCTACAGTGTCAACGCACTTTATCAACGCCTCGTTTAATGAAAATAAATAATTTATAAAAGTCTCAATACACAAGTTATTAACACGTTCGGAGGCATCGAGCGATGCATGTTGCTTTAACACTAATAATTATCTGATAAAACAAAACAAAAAAAAATGAATGTTTTGTGCACTATTACAGCCATTTCAATACTAACTCTGCTTGTACGCATTCACTTCATTGCGCAAGCAATAAACAGTGCAGAAGTGTATGTATATATAAGGCATTCATCTGTAACTTTTTGTTTATTTATATACTTTGTCCGCCCATACAAAAATGGTCTATGGACGTCTATGGAAAATCCTATGGTGAGCTATCACCTTCTATGGCCCTCTATGGTCAGCCATAAGAAACCATAAAACACGCTATAGCCACCTATAGAAAAATGTATGTCTTCAAAGCTTTAGAATCTCGACCATTCCGATTTCTATACCTGGCTATAGAATAATTTATGACTACGCAGCTATAGACTCGCGACTATTCAATATTCTTCAGCAAGCTATAGACATATGCATGTCCTTGATGCTATAGATTCGCGACTATTGAATGTGCTTTAGCCGGCTATAGAGTGGTGTATGTCCCTAAACCTATAGAATCGCGACCATTGAATTTTCTTTAGCCGACTCTATAGCATTTTATGTCACCGAAGCTATAGGCCTCTGACCTTTCAATGTTCTTTAGCCGGTTATAGAGAGGTGTATGTCTCTGAACCTATAGACTCGCGACCATCGAACTTTCTTTAGCCGTCTCTATAGTGTTTTATGTCACCTAAGCTATAGGCCTCCGAACATTCAATGTGCTTTAGCCGACTATAGAGTGGTGTATGTCCCTAAATCTATAGAATCGCGACCATTGAATTTTCTTTAGCCGTCTCAATAGTGTTCTATGTCACCAAAGCTATAGCCTCCGACCTTACAGTGTGCTTTAGCCGGCTATAGAAAGATGGATGTCTCCCGAGCTATAGACTCGCGACCATCCAATTTTTTTAGTCGGCTCAATGGTTTGCTTAGGCTATAGGTCCGCGACCCTTTTTTTTTTTTTTTTTTGCTGCAGATGTACGAAAGTGGAAGAGAGTCATTCATGCGCTCGATCGGGGCGAGAATTTTCTTGAGCCAGGTTAACGGGGCGTACGTCGCCGCGGGTATACGCCCGCGATCACAAAAGCTTCCTTAGCTGCCTATAGGACTATTGCAGTTTTGCCGGCTGCTTTCCCTACGCATTGCCTTATTTCGGCGTTGACGTCATCTCAATCTTCCGTTTTTTAGCTCTAATTATCTGTCGTTTCCAGTGTATTTTGTAAGTATATGTACTTCGTAGCGCGCCTTCTACTTTGTCCGTGTCCCTGCCATGGTTTTATTTCTTTCTGCCTGCTGTGTTAAATATATTTAATGTTTTTTGTGTATATTTCGTCGTTCTCGACGCGGCGTCAAGAACGCTGCTTACGCCACTACAGAGGTGAGCTTTACTCTTGTCACGACGGTTTATCGCGCTATAAAGCCGTCTATTGGACTCGTATAAAGTCTCGAGAGGGCGGTTTCGAATGCCGGTGCACATGTCATCGGTGTAGGTAGAGCAACGACGTAGCAATCGCGACGCGAGTGCTGATTGCGATTCGATCTGGCCGGCCGCGCTCGCTCTGTGGAAATGTAAGCTTGGGACTCTCGAGCCCTGTAAGTACGCTGTTAGCTTACTGAAGATGCAAGACACTACTTGGTCGTCGCGAATCCTTTGCCCATCGAATGGCTTTGAAGCCGTTCCAGCGCCCGGCGTATACCCTATGCAGTGTCCTCCAACAACCGTTCGCACAGCATCGGAACCCTCCGTCTGCGAGCCCCGGCGGTTCGCCGTCGCGGGGATTATGTTCGCGGAAGTTCATGTTCGCGGTGTTTCATGTTCGCCGCAGGAGTTCATAAAATGCTCCCATTGAAGTCGCGACGATAAATCGTCGGCGCTCGCAGACTGCCAGTAGGCTCCGGGCGGTCGCTGACAGGCGCTGCTGCCTAGGGTACGCCGAGCACTGGAACGTTTTCGCCGGCGTTCGCAGGACAAAGATTCTCAACGACAAAGCAGCGCCCTGCATCATCAGCAAGTTAACACTGCTCGAGAGTCCCACGCTCACATTTTATCAGAGTGAGGCGCAGTCGTCTCTCACTTCGCGATTGCTGCGTCGTTGCTCTGACTAAACAATTGACAGTTCTCTCGAGACTTCATGAGCGTTAAATCGACGCGTCAATAGCGCGATAGAGTGTCGTGACAACAAAAAAGCTTACCCCGGCAGGGGCGTGAGCAGCGGTGCAATGTGCGTCAACGCCCATGTCGAGAACGGCGAAATATACACAAATAACAGGCGAAAAAAAATTAATATCATTAGGCACGCGCTACCCTAGGTGCGTCCTATTATCTCTCTGTTCTGCGAATTCAACGAATCAGCAAGCGCTGTGGCTAATTTCTCTTCTTTTTCTTTAAATTATGAGACAGTAAAGTCATTAGAGCTTCTTGGAGCACACATCCCCACCATGTGTCATCATGGTGCCCCGAGATTGTAATTGATGGCAGTGATATAGACTGAACTCACGGATGAAAAACGTATTACGGCACAAATTTCTTAAACCACGCAATCATAGATTCCACAACGATTCAAAGATTCCCAAAA